AGGTCTACCTAATGAGCTTCCAAGGAGCCCTAAGTATGTCTAAAACGCTTTGAAAGCCACCGAGCTCATTGATTTCGACAGTGCCTCTACCCCATATTTAAGCAGCTCAAATACCTTGGAAGTTGCGACATACATTGGAGTGTCAAGTGCCAGTCAGAAACCACATGGTAGGTGATATTGTCCTGGCTAAAGCTTGGATATTGGGCTCAAGAAGTCATTGGTCTGGCACAGTGAGGCTTGTTGAAGCAAGCAACTGAGCCAATATTTCCATACAGCTGTACCACGGGTTAAGAACTTAATTTGTTCTGGAGGTCCATTCTTAACCCGAAACTGTTCTTAACCTGAGGTACCACTTTAGCTAATGGGGCCTCCTGCAGCCGCTGTGCGATTTCCGTTCTCATCCTGAAGCAAAGTTCTTAACCCGAGGTGCTATTTCTGGGTTAGTGGAGTCTGAAGCGTCTGTAACTCGAGGTACCACTGTATTTCAACAAGAATGCCAGGTACCACTGTATTTCACTGTATTTTAACAAGAATGCCAGGACCACAATGCTGCTAGAGGCCAGCTCCATCTCAATATCAACAGACCCTGCTGTGGGAAAGCCAATGCTCCACTCCTCGTCATTGCACGCCGTGTCCTGTTGCCATGCACTGCTCTAATGTGCTCCATCAGCTTTTTCCTCCATTCTTTAATGAGCATCACATGTTGCAACCCCTCAGATTCTATCGCAGGTTTCCATTAATTTTCCGGGTTGCTCACGAATGCGCAGGTTGGTACAAGGTGGCTGGAATGTCCCTGGGCAAAACGGGAACCTCGCCCAGTTGCTGCTACACATCCTGCAACTCTAAGGGGGAAGGCTCATTTATAAGACCGGCTAAGAGAATGAATTAATTTTTTTACAATCAAATTTCAATTTGCCCAAGGTAGCTTATAATTAATTGCAGTGCTTTTAAAGAATAAGTAATTTGTCAAAGGCTACAGAACATTTCCTAGGAAGATCTGGAACAGACAGGAAAACATAACTATTGGGTATTAGAAAAAGGGTCTCCAGCAACTGGCATTCAGTAGCCATTGATAGTCTTTTTCCTCCATGGATTTGTCCAATCCTCTCTTTTTTTATAGCAAAAATTCTTTAATAGACACCAAATAGCAGTATTTTTTACATTGCCAGAATTTCCACATATACAGCATATGTTCTACTTGTCCCACCACTTCTGAAATCTCTTGATCTTATTTCTTATCCAAATATATATGGCATTTGTTTCTGTACATTTATGTGCAAATTCACCTGATGAAATACAGACAGTGAACCCTACAGATTCAGCTTCCGGTAACATGATGTAAGCGCCATCTTTGTAGTGTTTCATGGATTCCATTTGTTTTGTCATCACAAGGACATCTTGAAATTTCTGTACTGAGGCCATACATAGGCTGAAAATAGGCTTCTTTTTCCACTTGGACAGTTAAATGATTAACGCCACCATCCTTAAGAATTGCTGAAATAATCCGTATAATCCTCTGCTCCATCACTTCTGACATTATTTGCACATGTATAGTGCCTGCCACAACATTAGGAGAATGAAAACAAAAATGAGGACCCCTATAGGATATGACACCATAAATTTTCTGGATGCCTGTCAGGTACTCTTGTTGAGGCTGCCACTAGAGCATGAGAAAGATCTGCGCATGGGTTTGGAAAATGTCCAATCCTCTTTTAAAGCCATCTAATTTGGGGGCCATCAGTGCCTCTTGTGGAAGTGAGTTCCATATTTTAACTATGCACTCCATGAAGAAGCATTTCTTTTGTGGAACGCTCTTGGAACTCTCTGCCTCATGAGACCAGGGCCCTGCAGGATCTGATTTCTTTCCTCAGGGCCTGTAAGATAGCGTTGTTCCACCTGGCCTTTGGCTTGGAATCAATTTGAATACCTCCCTCTCTTTCTTTTTTTCCTTTCTCCTTCTGTTTTGGAACTCCTATTTGGGGATTTCCCTGGCTTTTTTCTGGCCCATGTAGTCTGGATAGTTAGCCTTGGTGACGACTTGACTTTTTATCCCCCAAAAAGTTTTTGATTGAGTTCCACTGAAATGAGGCTGCATTTTAATGTTGTATTTCAATCTTGTTTTTTTAAGCTGTATTCTAATCAACTGTTTTTATATTTGGTGTTAGCCGCCCTGAGCCCAGTCTTGGCTGGGGAGAGCGGAGTATAAATTATTATTATTATTATTATTATTATTATTATTATTATATCTGCCCTGAGAAAGTACTCCATCATGGTGCAGAGCATAAACTATTGAACATTCCATATCTAAGGCCAGGCTACACATTACTTCTCAAAGTTAATATTTTCTGGGCCCCCTCCCCTGCCCAGCTGCTTGGCAAAATGAGCTGCATCAGAGATAACAACACAAGGGGGTGAACAGAATAACTCAGCTGGGATTCTCTTTTTCTGAAAGGCAAGGGGTGAGTGTGTGGTTTAAGGGCCACCATTGTTCTTGTCTTGTTGGAGGGTATCTCCAGGAAAAAAAAGTTCTAAACAGGAAAAGCCAGGTTGATCTCCATGGGCTATGGTGTAACACAGTTCCCAGAAGATCAGCCTCGCTACTGAGGCTATATACACTCAACCTAACATGTGAAGCAGCCCTTAGGAGACAAATTGAGAAGCAGAGCAAATTTATGCGTGCGTATCTGTATATTATTAAAGTGGAACTTCAGTTTGGGATCTAGTCTGCCCTACATTCACCTTGCATTTAGTGATAATATCTACTCAAACCACCGGACTGTGGAATGGAGATGAGTGCTCACCAGATCATCAAGGAGTTGGAAGTATTTCCAAAGTGATTAAGCATAGCAAGTGACAAGATAATCATCGCAGAGAGGGAACATCTTCAAAGCGTGCTTGCATCACCAGCACCCAAGGAGATCCATATTTGATTAGGCACCTCCTGAGCTGAAACCAAAGAGGTTTAGGCACAGGAAGTGTTCGCCTTCATACTGGCTAGCCAAAACAAATGAAAAAAAGACAGGTAGGGAAACTATGTTTAAGAATAAGCTCGGCCATGCAGCTTAGAGTAACTGTATTGGTTAAATCTATGAAGATGGTATTTGCAGATCATACACTGGGTTGTTTAGAAATCTGCTCAGTTACCAAATGGGTCGTCTTAGTAAAGAGCTAATTGATGAGGAAACTCTGGGTGTGCTCCCTGTGGTTGGCACATAGGGTGAAAATGATTCTCCTTTCATCAGTTGTTTAAATCTGACAAACAGCGGCACAACCCAAAGAACAAAAGAGGCATGACACTGTTCCCTTTGCACCTCCCCCCCCCCACAAATAAGTTAACACCCAGTAAGCCTGTCTGATAGTTCCTTCAATCACAACTATTTGTAGGTTCATGTTTTAGAGAGGGAGAAAGCTTACTGGTATATTTTTGAATATTGGCATGTTGGCTTTGGGAGGTTGGTCTGAACCAACCACAATTTGTGGGTATGCAACGTTGTGGGTATGCAATTAATTGGGCAATGGTAACTGTATTTTCAGGATTGAGTTCTCGCCTTTGAAAGAAAATTACCAGTAAATGCCAACAGAAAAACCTTGGAGGAAAAAGGATGCTGTTTTGCAGGCTTAGAAAAAGTGTGCCTGTGTGGATAGGGAAAAGGGCTTGTTGTCCAAGCATGGGGTGGGGAAGGCAGCAATGTCCATCAACTTGGGTGGTGGGGCGCAGTCCCCTCAAATATTTTTTTGTGGGGGCAGAAGGGACCTGAGCCCCCACAAGTTGGTTCCTGTGCTTGCAATGATGGAACAATTGTCTTGGCACAACATTTAATTCTACCCTGAACAGCAGGGTGGTGAGGCAAAACATGCGTACGGTGGTACCTCGGTTTATGAACTTAGTCCGTTCCGGAAGTCCATACTTAAAACAAAACCATTCTTAAACCGAGGCGTGCTTTGCCTAATGAGGCCTCCCACCACCAGTGCCCTTCCACAGTTCGGATTCCGTTCTTAGACCGAGGTAAAGTTCACAAACCGGGACACTACTTCCGGTTTTGAGGAGCTAATAAACTGAATAGTTCGTAAACAGAGCTGTTCTTTAAACCGAGGTATATACTTTTCACAGTTTAAAATGGAGAAGGCTAATTTTAAATTCCAATTTGCTTTCCATTTGGCATTTCTTCATTGTGTTCCCTGCTGAGTAGTGAGGGATCAATTAATCTGTTTCCAGTTCATGTCAGTTTCTCTTGTGCTCTTTCGTAAATCTGTTCTGTCATCCTTCTCCCCCAGTCTGTGGATTTTCCTTCAAAACAGCATCAATATTATTATATTATTTTGCATTTCCCTCCCCCGCAATGCACATTTTTTTGTTTGCATTTTTCTCTAAAAATCTGAATTTTGTGGAATGTATTTTGACTTACAACCTGCATCACTTTGGAGCTGAGAACCTGAATGCAAAATCTGGAGAAGTGAGCAAACCAAAGGATAAGTGTGTTCTGATACATGGATTGATCCAGGAAGTACAGATTGAATTCAGTTTGCTAAATACACACACACACACACACACACACACACACCAAAAAAACCCAAACAAAAACGGACTGGCTGAAATCTTTGAGCATCCCTACTTCTGAGTGCTAAGGAAGAACAAGACTTTTTTTTCTTTTCAGATCAACACAGAAAATTTGTGGCTGCATGTTCTTCACTACTGATGTGTTCATGATGGTTGATGGGTTGGAAACAGAGCAGACTGCAGCTTCAAGGTGCAGGATGAAAGGAAAATCTGATGATGATGCATCTCCATCTCCATCCTAGCAACACATCCCCAGAGAGTGACAAAACCCCAGGCATGCACTTGATTGCCATAGATAGCCTTCAAAAACCCCTCCCTTTGGCAGATTTTTTTTTGGCATAAACAATGAGATTGGCAAATGCCCTGGGAGGGGCAAGGAACACCCATTGTGGCAACACCCAAATGGGAAGTATAAGTAGGGATCTGCTGGGAAGAATCATTTGCAGTCTCAATCTCAAAACAGGCTGTGCAGCTGAACTGGGGCTTTTGTAGGGCTTAGATTCTCCATATCTTTCACTATGAGTTGCGGTGTTAAGGGTGGTGGCGGTGGAGGCAGCGGTGGCGGAAGCTGCAAAATCATCGGTGGTGGAGGTAGTGGCGGCAGCAGTGGCGGCGGTAGAAGTATCAAAATCACAAGCTCATCCTCCAGGTCTTCCAGAGGGTTTTCTGGTGGTAGTTATGGCGGAGGAGGATCCAGAAGTGGCTATGGAGGAGGAGGTTTCAGCAGTGGTAGCTGTGGAAGGATAAGCAGAGGGAGAATAAGCTATGCCGGCAGCAGCTACGGCGGTGGCTATGGTGGTGGCTATGGTGGTGGTTATGGTGGTGGAAGCTATGGTGGCGGAAGTTATGGTGGTGGAAGTTATGGTGGTGGAAGCTATGGCGGTGGAAGCTATGGTGGTGGAAGCTATGGCGGCATGGGCTATGGCGGTGGAGGCTATGGCGGAGGCAGCTACCCATTCAGCAGTGGCAGCTTCGGTATTGGCGGTGGTGAGGGAGGCCTCTTCAACACCAACGAAAAGTCCACCATGCAACACCTTAATGACCGCCTGGCTAATTACATAGATCAGGTGAAACGCCTGGAGGATGAAAATGATCAGCTCGAGGTCTTGATCAGAGAGTGGTACCAGAAGCATGGAACCGTAGCTGGACCAAGGGACTACAGCCAATATTACCAGCAAATTGACCAGCTCTACAATGAGGTATGCTATTTTGTTTTGAACAAGTACTACAAGGCTTTAGGGATGCGGGTGGCACTCTGGTCTAAACCACTGAGCCTCTTGGGATTGCCGGAAGGTTGGTGGTTCAACTCCCTGCAATGGAGTGAGTTCCTGTTGCTTTGTCTAAACTCTTGCCAACCTAGCAGTTCGAAAGCACTCCAGTGCAAGTAGATAAACAGGTACCGCTGTTGCGGGAATGTTGTTTCTGTGCGCTCTGGTTTCCATTATGGTGTTCTGTTGTGCCAGAAGCAGTCTAGTCATGCTGGCCACATGACCCAGAAAACTGTCCGGGGACAAATGCCGGCTCTCTTGGCCTGAAAGTGAGATAAGCATCACAACCCTCATTGATGTAACCGTCCAGGGGTCCTTTACCTTTTTACCTACAAGGCCTTGGATTTCTTTCTAAAAGATGCTTCATCCTTCACCAAAATGAGAGTTACTGGCTAGGTATAACTTAAACCCCTTGTAAATGACATGGTCACGCTTACTGCCTGGGATGAGGCACCTGCTGTTCTAAAAAGCCATGTGCATCATGGGCAGCCAACATGGTGTTCTCAATATGCATCCAATCATCCCTGGCTATTGGCCGTGCTGGCTGGGGATGAAGGGAGTTGGAGTTCTACCATACCTGTAAGGTACCATGCTGGCCACCCCATACTATAACCTTTGCTAATTCAAGCAAGCTTGAGTATTCACCGATTACTCTCAGCAACAATGCATACCCAGTCTATACTCACTGCCCCTCTCATCATTACAAATGAATGCACAGCAAACATATCAAGGTCTGCCCAGAAACTACGTCCCCACCTGCAGTAGACCTTCAAAGAAGTATCATACCACTTCAACAGCCATGGCTCCCCACGAAGAACCAAAGTTTGCAAGGGCATTGAGGGTTGTTAAGGGGCCCCCCATTCTCCTCAGAGAACTACAGTTCCCAGAGTGGTTTAACAGCCAATATTTCATCCCAAGGAACTCTGGGAAATTGAGCCTTGTGAGGGGAATAAGAGTCTCCTAACAATTTCCAAATCCCTTTACGTACTACAGTTTGAAGAGGTATAATATTGCTTTGAATGCAGAGTGCAGACTGGGCCCAGTTCTAGTAGACAAGCCAATCTAAGTCAGTTCTAGGTAGATGAGACGCTGGGCCTTGAGATATTGCCTTCCAGAGACCTTTGAGACCTCTGATCTATAGAACATGTTGCTTGGTTGTGGTGTCTCACTGTTGCATGGAGTTTATAAAATGGGCTTTGAGATTATAATTAATATCGCTTTTATTAATTATTGCTGTTGTGAATGTTGCGACTTGACTTGCAAACCAGTCTGTGCTTTCTTATGAAGAGCAGTATGCTAATGATACAACACAACACAACACAACACAACCAGCATGGTGTTTTATTACATTGTCATCTCCGACAGACTGAAGGAATTAAGCATAAACATGTACATTCCCCTCTTTTTCCAGCTTATTGGTGAAACAGATGATTACAACAAAATCCTTCTGAATATTGATAACACCAGGATGACTGCTGAAGATTTTAAAATGAAGTGAGTATAACTCTTCTCACCTACTTTCCTCAGACGTAGCTGAAATCTATATCCCTTTTTTTCTTCAAAGAAACTTAAAGTGCCTAATGATAGTGCAAATGGGAAATGGAACCTGTGACAAAATGATTACAGGTCACAGAACGCCTTTTCTTCTATTCCAAGACCCCAGGTTTTCCAATCCCTTCTCCAATATTTGAACAGCATTCCATGGCCAATGAGCGTTCTCTGTCCCACCCCAGAGGGCTTTCTCTTTGAAAAAAGCTTGACAGTACCTCAGTGGATGTATTAACCTGGATTTCCATGTGCCCAGAGCAGATTTCAATCCATCCTACAAAATCATCAAAACATAAATCTAACCAAACAGGTGGAGTTCAGACCCAGGTAGCAACATCGGAAGCTGCTGTTTACCTTTGGCCATCTTTTACAATGCAACCTGTTTCGATTGGCAGCAGCTGTCCAGCATCTCAGGCATTGGACTTGAGATCTTCTTCTGCATAGGAATAAAAAATCATGGTTAATCCATAGAGATGCAATTAACCCAGGCATGTAATTATGAGACATGTGATAAGAAAAGTAACGTTTGTGAAGCCTGCCAGTCACTGTTCTCCACCCTACCTCCTTTCCTGTGCATTAGGTACCAGACTGAATTAGGTCTCCATCAGAACGTGGAGGCTGATATCAATGGGCTGCGCCCTCTCTTGGATCAGCTGACTCTTGCCAAGTCTGACCTGGAGATGCAGTTCGAGTCTCTGAGAGAGGAGCTGATCTGCCTCAAGAAGAACCATGAGGAGGTAATACAGAGATCAAAAAAACAACGAACAAAAAGTCAACCTTCTGAGCTTCCTGTGAGGGTTTTCCGGGGGGTAAAAGGTAGCAACCAACAATTTAGTCTGGGGTGCAAAATGTGATGAATGCATTGTAGGGTACCAGAAATGCTTGATATCTGTGTCCCTACAGATATTGTTGGACTCCAACTCTCGTCAGCCCCACCCACCACAGCCAGTGCTCAGAAATGATGAGAATGGTAGTCCAGAAATATTTCTGGAAAGCCAGTGGTGCCCCACTCCCACTTTTCAGCTCTGAGGGATATTCAACTGACCAACCCTGCCTTAGCTTGATTTAAGGATCCCCATGCAAGAAGGTTCCCTGCAGTTCCCTTCGTTGGCCAGTGCTGAGTGTTAGCAACTGAATGTTGTGAACTGCCCTGAGATCTAGGGATGAAGGGATACAGATTTAATAAACAATAATAGTAACTGGGTTGAATCCCTTACTGACACCCCTCAAGTCCTAGCTTCAGGGACCTGCTGATGCCTTGGCTGAAGGTGGCCCAATTCTTTCCCCACCCCTCCTCTATCTGATGTTTCATAGAGCCATTCTCAAGACACATTAGCAGAATTTCATGATTATTATTATTATTTTAAAAAAGAATTGTGGGGGATTTGGGGGGGGAAGAGGCAGATTTCATTTCATGATGTGTTTTCCTTCCCCTTGCAGACCCTGAGAGGCCTGAGAAACCAGCGTGGTGGCGATGTGAACGTTGAGGTGGACTCTGCCCCTGGTGCAGACCTGAAACAACGTCTTGATCAGCTCAGGGCTGAATATGAAAGAATCATCGCAGACAACCGCAGAGAGGTGGAACAGTGGTACGAATCCAAGGCAAGTGGTCTTTTCAGTGATTAGAAGATAGATGACAGCAGATGAACTATATCCACCATACTGAGAGGAACCTGGGTGACAGGCTTAATCTAAGGGGGGAAGGGGGTTGATGCTAGTAGCTGGGGTGCGTTTAGTAGATTGCTCCCCAACTGTCCACAGCTCTTGTCATAGTTAAGAAGACCACTCTAGGGCCAATGGAAGCGATCTGAAGAGTGTACGAAAAATGTGAGCTGAAATAAGGGGAGCAGGTTTAAAAGGTAATGAGAGTCCTGCAGGTTTAGATGTTCCTTACATCCCATTTCCCACAGCGAGCAACTTCTGGGAAGCCTATAAGCAAGAGATGAAGGCCAATGGGAAAGTTTGTTGCTACCAGAAACTGACTTTCCATGGCATACTGCCCCATATAGCTGTCATGAAGGATGCCCAGGGCTTGGTGTTTTCTAAGAGGTGGGGTAGAGATGACCCAAAAGAGAAGGAAGATAAATTACTCAAGAGGGGTGATGGAAAAAGCCTGACACACAATTCCTACTGGTGATAGTGCGCTTCGGTGTTGATAGGACACAGAGGCATGAGAATCAGCCATGTTCTAGATACAGGGGTGGAAAGTATAGTTGACAACACTGCCCAGTATTATGTGTAGACCTGTGTAGTACAATCCTTGGCTTGTCCTCTCATCTTACTGACATTCCCAAGTTTGCTGTGTGCCTCCCAGTAAGAAGCAAATGGTCCAGCCAGTCAGAATATCTTCCTTTTTGTCTACTAGATGGAGGAGGTTCGCCAGCAGGTCAATTCAAGTGGGCAGGAGATAAATACCGGCAACCAGCAAGTCTCAGAATTGAGACGAGAATATCAGACCCTGGAGATCGAGCTCCAATCCCAACTCAGCATGGTATGTGGTAACATGTGCAAAAGTGATACGTCTGGGTGTTTTCTTTCTTAACATCCGCTAAAAACATGGTATTGCATCAAGGCATAGTTGTTTCTTACCCTTACCCTCCCCACACCCTGCCCCAGCAGAGGAATGAAAACGCAAGGTGTAAACAGGACGAATGGACGGCAGCTTTATTAACATAATGAGATATGCAAAAAGAGCAAACATTTTAGCTGTATAAGTTAACAGCCGTGCGGTTCCCTGCAAGCTAGGGAAATAGTTCTCCCACAGTCGACCTGGCATAGCCAAATCAGGCAATTCCACCCTGGCTCCAAGCAACAGGTGAATCAGCTGGCTGGTCCGTGCTTGCCTTTGCCTGTTCATCCACAGGGTGCCCTTAGAAGACACCTGGCTGCCCCATGCTACCATGGCTAGATATCACCAAGTTACGATGAAGTTGCCCAACTCCAATTAGAGCTCTCCTTACCAGTGAGCTGGGATGGCTTGGTCAGACAATTTCTTGGTTTGCACCTAGGGGTGGAAGGACCTGTCAGCATTGGTTCTCCCTATTTCTCTGCTTTTCAGTAATTTTGTGCAGCAATCTGTGCTTCAAAAAATATCCTCGTGAAAATTCACCAGCATTTCAATTGCAATTTCCCCCCAATGAGCACATTTTTGTATATACACATTTTTGCATTTACCCCAAATATAATGTTTTTTTGTATGTTAGTTTGATGAATATCTTCATTTTTATGCACACTTGCCCCTAATACATGCATTTTTTAAAAAACAACAACAGCACTAATTGAGTACTGCATTGCAATATGTGGAAAAGTGTGAATTTTGAAGGATACATCTTGTTTCAGAAAGTGCAGATTTGATAGATTTGCTTCTAAATGAGACCTGGATTGAATTTCTCTCCCATCTCTATTTGCACCATCATTTGCTCTTCATGACTGCTAAAGTGGGGCAAGGGTGGGAATTGCCAGAACCTGAAAAATGGGTAGGAGGGAGCACCATTCCTGAAGGTCATCTCACTGTTTTCCTTCCCTCTCATCAGATCCAGTCTCTGCAAAGCAACTTGGCCGACACAGAACGTCGGTACAACATGCAGCTGCAACAGATTCAGGTCATGATTGAACCAATCGAATCAGAGCTCGGCAGCATCCGATGCGAGATCGAGAGCCAGAGTCAGGAGTACCAGCTGCTCCTTGGCATCAAGACTCGCCTGGAACAGGAGATCTGCCAGTACCGCCGGCTACTTGAGGAAGGACAGCAAGAAATGTATGTTGACTATCGGCCATTTAGGGGATATTAGTCCACTGCTGCGAAAACTCACCCACAAACAATAAGGGAGGGATGGAGGGACCATCTACAAAGGATGCTTCCAGGCTCTAGAGCACTCCAGAATCACTGAATCACTCCTTCATTGCAAACATCCCAGTACTGTAAATAAAGGAACCAAGTATCTCTGTGAACCCACTTGCAGCAAAATATTGCCAAGAAGGGACTCGGAGGCCTTCTAGAGCAGTGTTCTCCAAACTTGGGTCCCCTGCTGTTTTTGGACTACGATTCCCATCATCCCTGACCACTGGTCCTGCTAGCTAGGGATGATGGGAGTTGTAGTCCAAAAAAGCGCTGGAGACCCAAGTTTGGGAAACTCTGTTCTAGAGCATCCAGCGGCCACTGACTTCTTAGAATATCCTAGAACAGCGGTTCTCAACCTATGGGTCCCCAGATGTTGTTGGACTACAACTCCCATCATCCCTGACCACTAATCATGCTGGCTAGGAATGATGGGACTTGTAGTCCAAAAACAGCTGGGGACCCACAGGTTGAGAAACACTGTCCTAGAACATTCTGTACCAAGGAGGGAAATCAGGGGTGGATAGGTGTGACGAGTTAAAAGTATAAAACTGCCTTATGGACAATCGGACCACTAGCCTATCTGTGGCCTCGCAGATGTCATTGGACTGCCTGCTCCCATCCATCTTTGACCATTGGCCATGTGGGTTGGATGTAATGGGAGCCAAAGAACACTTGGAGGGCCCCATCCCGTATCAAGCCCAATCCTTTCTATCCCGACTGGATAGCCTCCAAGGCAAAGGCTTCTCCCAGACTAAATGAGGGTATTTGGCATGAGCATCGACATTCCGTCTACAAGGCATAGTCCACGTTATATATATTTTTTCTTTGTGAAGTGGTTTGCAATGTTCTTCATGGTTATGTTTCTGTTTCCCAGTAGCTCATCAGGAGGAGGAGGATACGGAGGTGGCTATGGAGGTGGTAGAAGGGGAAGCATCGGCAGAATTGGCGGAGGAGGCATTGGCGGCGGAAGCATTGGCGGCGGCGGCGGTTCCGGTATTGGAGGAGGAAGCATCGGTGGAGGAGGCATGGGCGGAGGTAGCAGCGGCGGTACCTGTATCGGTGGAGGAAGTATTGGCGGTGGAAGTATTGGCGGCGGAAGTATCGGTGGTGGCGGCGGTTCCTGTATCGGCGGAGGAAGCGGCGGTGGCGGTGGACAAATGGGAGGAGGTGGTCAGAGCTACCCCATGCCTGTACAGCCCTGCAAACCAGGTAAAAACCTTCACAAGGGGGATTTGGGTTCTCTGTGCCTTCCCTTTCCTTCCTAGTTGCATCAGGCAGTTGGAATATTTAACCAGTAAGGGCTGCTCCAAATGCCATAAGGTCCATTTAGCTTTATAAGAAAAAAAATGTGCCAAGCTTGGGGAGTGTTGCACATGCAAGCATTAAGCGGTCACAAAGCAGCACTTTGCCCGCCGGACGTGCAGCAAATGCGAGGCAGAGGCAATGATCACGCATCAGAATCTGTGGGCAGTTTGCCCGCTATCTTTCTAGACAATGTGCCTTATCCTTGTGTTAGGGTAGGCTGTAGGAGATGATGGAAACCACACTGGGATTTAATCTAGAGCTGTGTAGCCATTTCTCATGAGGGAACGTTCAATTACCCTACAATTAGACCTTGCATGCTCCATTTCTCAGTTTGCTCCAAACTGGATTAGAAGAGGGAATAATTGTCCAGAAGACATCAGGGGAAGGGGCGGCAAAATAATTCTCTATATTCGTCTCACAGGTCACTTTCACATCATCCATCTCAAGCATGATTATACCACTTTCTAATGATCAAGGCTTCTCCCAAACAATCCCAGGAACTTTGATCTGTTATAAGTTGTTAGGACACCCTTAAAAAACTACAGTTCCCAGGATTCTTTGGGGGAAGCCATGGCTGTTAAGCTTGGCATAAGAGTGCTTTAAATGGATGGTGTGGATGTGACCGCAGGCATTTTCATTCTATTAGAAGAAAAGGCCAAATCTGTGCAGACCGTGCTGCATTTAGGAAGTAAGAAAGCAAGTTTCACATGCCGGTGTTGAACGTAACTTATACCTCATTCTTTGTCATTTATGCATTCCTGTGCCCCTAAGGACTCACCTTTTCCCTTTTCTCTCTCAACAGTACACGGCAGGAAATCCTATGACTAACCATTTGTCTCTTGTCATCGCTCCAACTTCAAACCCACCAACTGGTTCCGCTGATATAGGAAGTGCACACCTGCCCCTGTGCCCCTTTCTGCTTGCTTGTTCCGTTCTTCAGAGTTCTTCCTTGCAGGATGTGTCTTGCTTTAGCTTGTTAGTGGCCAATACGTGACTTCTGTCATTGATGAGGGTTGTCTAATAAAGCTCCATTGCTGCTTGATGCAATCAGAAAAAAACAACAACTTTGTGTCTCCTTGTTAATAGCGCCAAGCAAGCATTTGATGTGTGCCTCCAAATGCACCTCACAATCTTAGCTAATGGTTGATTATACCAGGCTTACATGGTGACATTTGAAATAGTCCATTTCTTATACAGTGGTACCTCGGGTTACATACGCTTCAGGTTACATACGCTTCAGGTTACAGACTCTGCTAACCCAGAAATATTACCTCAGGTTAAGAACTTTGCTTCAGGATGAGAACAGAAATCGTGCTCCGACGATGCGGTGGCAGCGGGAGGCCCCATTAGCTAAAGTGGTGCTTCAGGTTAAGAACAGTTTCAGGTTAAGTACAGACCTCCAGAACGAATTAAATACTTAACCCGAGGTACCACTGTACTAGATAAAGAAGAAGGAGGAGGAGGAGAGAATTAGGTGGGCCATATCCAGTATGCATTGAATTGTGGGGCCACAGCAATTTCCTGCTTTCCCACAGATATACACATTGCACCCAACAAGTTCTTATTTTGGGGGTAGTTGCAAAAATGTTTCTTTATGACCAGATGTTCTGGAAACCTGATTGCAAGAACTTACCAGATCCAATATGTGGCGTTGTTTTCTTGCTCCCCCCACCAAAGACCTTAGGAATATATTTTGGGATGCACCCCAAGTACTTTGTTTTAGAACACACACAAACACACAAAGCAGGAGGGTGCTATTTATCCATTTCATGTATGAATCACTTTCTACAAAACATCCCGAAGCCATTTAACAACAACAACAAAAAGCCATCAACTACAAAAACATATAGAAATGCAATTTCTAAGCCAATACAGTGGTACCTCAGGTTATAAACACCTCAGGTTACAAACACTTCAGGTTACAGACTCCGCTAACCCGGAAGTAGTACCTCGGGTTAAGAACTTTACCTCAGGATAAGAACAGAAATCGCGCACTGGCGGCACTGCGTTAGCAGGAGGCCCCATTAGCTAAAGTGGTACCTCAGGTTAAGAATGGTTTCAGGTTGAGAACGGACCTCCAGAACGAATTAAGTTCGTAACCAGAGGTACCACTGTACAGATAAGGGGTGGGATAAAAATCTCCGCTGGGAAGGCTTGCTGGGAGAGGTTGGTTGTCAACAAGTACCAAAAAGACAACAAAGATGGTGCTTACCTGATATGTAAAGGAAGGGTAGGCAAGAGTATTGGACTAGGGCCTGGGACACCAGGGTTCAAATCCCCACTCGCCATAAAGCTCCCTCCCATAATATTTATTAAGTTTCCGACAAATACAACACATACTGAAAACCAATAAAACAAAAAGAAAAAAAGAAAAGAAAAATTTAAACTGAACAAGTCAAAAACTAAGGTTTTAGAGAAAAATTTAACACCGATTGAAAGAGAGAGGTTTCAGAATGAGACAGGTTTAACAGTGGTTAAGAAAGTTAAATACTTGGGGATTAACATGACAGCAAAAAATGGGAACTTATTTAAAGATAACTATGAAAATGTTGGGTTGAAGTGAAAAAAGACTTAGAAATTTGGTCAAATTTGAAGCTTTCACTGCTGGGCCATATTGCTGCGATAAAAATGAATGTATTGCCTAGAATGTTGTTTTTGTTTCAAACTTTGCAAATTGTGGACAAAATGGATTGTTTCAAGAGGTGGCAGAAAGATATTTCTAGATATGTGGCAGGGCAAGAAGCCCAGAATAAAATTTAAAATACTAACAGATGCAAAGGAAAGAGGTGGATTTGCCCTGCCAGACCTCAAACTTTACTATGAATCAGCAGCTTTTTGCTGGCTGAAAGAATGGTTACTTCTTGAAAACACTAACATTTTGGACTTAGAAGGTTTTAACAATGTATTTGGATGGCATGCATATCTATGGTATGATAAGGTCAAAGCACATAAAGCATTTAAAAACCACATTGTCAGGAAAGCGCTGTTTAATGTTTGGATAAGATATAAGGATTTGTTAGAAAATAAAACCCCAAGGTGGCTGTCACCAATGGAAGCGAAAGCCTTGAAAAAGCTCAATATGGAGGTCAAATGGCCGAAATATTGGGAAATTTTGGAACAAGATGGAGATAGACTGAAATTGCAGAGTTTTGAAAAACTAAAAACAAAGTGCGAGACTGGCTTCATTATTTTCAGATAATGGAGGCATTTAAATTGGACAAGAAAATTGGCTTCCAGGTGGAAAGATCAAAATTAGAAACTGAACTGTTAGAACCCAAAACTAAGAATTTGTCAAGAATGTATAACTTGCTGCTGAAATGGAACACTCAGGATGAAACGGTAAAATCGGCTATGATTAAATGGGCACAAGACGTTGGACATAACATTATGTTTGCTGACTGGGAACAGTTGTGGACCACAGGTATGAAATTTACGGCATGTAATGCCTTAAGAGAGAATATTATGAAAATGATATACAGGTGGTACATAACCCCAGTCAAGCTTGCAAAAATCTATCATTTGCCCGATAACAAATGTTGGAAATGTAAAGAAACTGAAGGCACATTTTTCACCTTTGGTGGACGTGCCCAAAGATTAAGGCTTTCTGGGAAATGATATATAATGAATTAAAAAAGGTATTCAAATATACCTTCCCTAAGAAACCAGAGGCCTTTCTCCTGGGCATGGTCGGTCAAATGGTGATAAAAAAGGATAGAACTTTCTTTATGTATGCAACAGCAGCAAGAATACTCATCGCAAAGTATTGGAAGACACAAGAACTTCCCACGCTGGAGGAATGGCAGATGAAACTGATGGACTATATGGAACTGGCGGAAATGACTGGCAGAATCCGTGACCAGGGAGAAGAGTCGGTGGAGGAAGATTGGTATAACAAAAAGAAAAAAATAAAAGAAAAAGAAAGGCATAAAACAAATGACCAAAAATATAGCCACAAACAGATGGGCCATAAAGCTCCTTGAGTGACCCTGGGCCAGTCACTGCCTCTCAACTTGACCTACTTAATAGGGTTGTTGTGGGGATTAAATGGGGAGCATGCGAACCCTGTACTTGAGGTGGGCTATAAATGCAGTAAGTAAAGAAATAATAGTGGGACAGTTCATCCAGCTCAGCTGGAGCCGCAGCCTATGGTAGATAATACAAAAAACACCTAAAGAGTGACACCTTCAGGACATAGCAGGTAAAGCCTCTTTCATAAACCCCGTGGCATGTAGCGAAGGAAGCTTCTTTCTGCTGGATGTCAGGTGGACGAGGCGGGCACGAAACTTCTCTTCCATATGTACGAGTGCCCAGTGACGATTTAGAGCTGCGCATGAAGCAGTTCTCCACCAGGTGGCATGGCATGCACTCTCTCGTCATGCCATTTGTGCACACACACACACACAGTGGCTACAGAATGATGATTGGTTCCTGGACACGATGGAAAACAGGAGGGGCGGGTCAATGGGAGTGGCTAAAATCCAGAACAATGTGCAACATTTTGTCACTGCTGGTCTCACTTGAATGTTCTGTTTATTCCCCTCTGCATTCAAACACATTCTGCATTCTGGTTGGTTGGTTTCACATAAACATGTACACTGTGAGTCTCATCCCTACTAAGCCATCTTTACAGCAGACCCATGGAAGTCAGTGGACTTCAGTTAGCCATGCCTAACTTGAGTCCATGAATTTCAGTGTGTCTCCTCTGAATAGGATTAAGCTGGCAACAACCCCGAGTTTATCCCTTCATATACTAATGAAAGCAGCAATAATCTCTCTCTCTCTCTCTCTCTCTCTCTTTAAATAAATCTTTATTGGTTTAAAATACAAACATACATACAAACATACAAACAACAAAGGTATGTATTACCAAGTTAAATACGAAAAGAAAAAAGAAGGGGGGAAAAGAAAAATGCAAAAAGAAAGAAAGAAAAATTTGAAACAGAGACAAGAAAAAGATAAAAAAAGAAAAGAAAAAGACCAAAGATTTATATAACATTATATCTATCGAATAAATTTTTTTTTGCAGAAAACTTCCAGTCTTTCTCGTTATACTTTTTCTGTTGTCATGGGAAAAGTCAGGGGAGTTTTAAATCAGAAAACATATGGAGAATGGAAAATATTTAAGGAATATGTAAGGCTATGTTGCAAAAATGATACCATCTTAGCAGAATTGGAATGATACTTGCGAACAATGGGTAACTGAAGTAAACATTATAGTGGAATGTAAGAAAAAGGATATAAAACAAAACTGTACGATAATACCACGAGCAGCAATAATCTCTCAACGCTTTGGAAACAAAGTGGCGTCGGCTTGTCAACAAGTTCAAAACATCATCCGCATGTGACAGGACTGGCACTGGGGGATAAGCATTGCGTGCCCAGGCGGAGACCCCCCCCCCCAGCCCTGAGAGACCCACCAGAAGGAATAATGACTCGTGCCTACATGTTATGGAATTAAAAATTGGCCACAACTTTATTAAACCTTTCAGATGTAGGAAGACTTTGGCTTAGGCATTGAGTATGTGTATCCCTCCCAGCCCCCCAGCTGGGGGGGAAATGGGGTTCCTCAGGGTGAATGGGATATAGGAGGGTACACAGCAAGACGCTTATGTACACTGGCAGCCCACCCCATATCCTCGCAACGCAGGGGAATTCACTGACAACCTTTCAGTGTATGGCCAGTGACTCCCATATACAAATCCCTTTAAGAGGGGACCCTGGAATTGCCGCCATGGGGGGGGGGTGAGTCACCACTTCACGCCCCACGCCCCCATTTAGGAAAGATAGACTAAAGGATTCCGCCCAGGGCTTAAAACCGCCAAAGTTGGGACGAATTGCTTTGGGGAGGGCAAAACCTGCCAACGCAGGGAAATTCCTTCCCGGCTCTTCAACAGCAACCATCAAAAGACCGTAGCAGCGGCCGCTGAACAGGAAGGAAAATGGTTAACCTGCAAACAAGCATTAGACAAAGGGAGGGATGGGTGGGTGAAGCTCTGGAGCCGACCGCAATGTTGCTGCCGGCTCCGCCTCCTATTTAAGCAGTCTGGCCCC